CTGAGACTTCGAATGTGGGAAATACTATCAATGCATATAAAAAGGTAGATCTTTGGGGGGGGGTACCACATCTTTGGATCTTCTGCCCAAAAGGGAAGCTGTTGTTCCCTGCTGCATCTTACAGCACAACTGAGCATTTTCATTTTCAGCACTATCATTTTGTTCAAAGGTTTTGAGTGCCAGCCTCTTCAGTGTCTGTCCTTCTGACCGTCGGACAACGGGATTGCAACCTAGTCCGCATAAAGCGCGCCGACGGTCCATAGAAATGTTTTCCAATGTCAACCCAAGTATTGGATATTCTTTTCTCCATGTCCTGCTCTGCTTTCAATTTCTGAATTCACCTTCTTGATTTCTGCATCCTCATATCTCTCCTGAACCTGGCAACCACCACTATAGAGTTTTCCGAGTCAATGTTCTACATGTCCGAATGCCAGCGATGTCTTTCGGGACTGCACCTTGCAACCAAGCTTGAAGCTATGGACATTCGGTTAGCATTCAGGGGGCCTTCGTGTCACACTTGCATCCGTTGGAGAGAAACAAACAGCATGCCGCCCCCTGGGCCTCATTGAGGCAGTAGTTCACAGCACATCCCCACGGGGCCTGACAGGAAATTGTTGCTTGGCACCTCATGGCTGAGTTATCTCAAGGTCAGGAGCTGATCTGCTTCCACCAGCATAGCGGGCAAGGAAAGCTTTTTCAAACCTTCTGGCTCGAGTTCGAGTGCTAAATTGCCCTCTGCATGCAGCTCGCAGTGCTGAAACAGCGCTGTGCTGCCAGCAATTCCGCCTTAGGCCTTTGTGGAACCATTCTGGCGCACTCTCGGCGGCAAAAGTGAGCCACTCCTGCCCCTGTCCCAGGCATGCTGAAATGCTATGCTTCTGCAAATGCGTACTAGCTGCAGGGTTCGCATGTCTGAGATGACAGCAGGAGTTCACGACAACTCCAGACACAGCATGCATCCAAAGAACGCACTCTCTGGTCGAAGTGCGTGTAAAGAGGAAGGCACATGTTGCTTCCTACACAAGATGGCACTCGTGCGCCAGCGTTTGCTGTACACACGGCCACTAAACATGTGCAGCCCACGACGCTTCGGATGCATGCTTTTGACAGACATGCCAAAATGACGGGACTTAAAATCGCGTACCAAGTGCATGTGTAGACTACAGCTTAAAAGGGAGCGAAGAAGGTTGGAGAGGTACAGAGCAGGACTCTAGGGGCAATGTTGCCGGCCTAGGAAGTTTGCATGGCAATCGGGCTCATGATCAACTCCAATCCATCGCACTCCCGCATAAACAAACTTTTCTGCCGGCACGTGCCGAGGGCTTGTGCTCCCCAACTCTGCGCGCGTGCGCAATTAAACACATCAAGAGTCACCAAGCTGCCATTGCAAACTTGGAAAGGCTCAGAGTGTTACCACGTTTGTGGAACCTGAACCATGCATGTAAGCTGCCCATACAGGCTCACTGTGCTGCCCAGCTCGAATGGGTTGTAATGATACCTTGCTATCGTGCTGTGATGGGCACAGAGGCTATGAAATTATCAGAACATTTCTAGGCTCCAAGAATCTGTAGAATTGCGGGGATTCGAACTTGGCAAATGAGCAAAGAGGCTTTATGCGATAACAGGAGAGGTTTAGAACACATCAGGGCATGCTAGGCTAGGCCTGGGGAGCTGAAATATGAAACAAGCAAGGTGGCGACAGTGCTGGCGTTGGTCCTGGTACTTGACCTGTGCCCCACCGTCCTCATATGCTTCTGCAACAATCGGTTTGCGAAGCACAACTCGCCATTCACAGCATGAAATCAGGGGTACAAGTACAAGTTCTTCACCAAGCGACGTGCTGGAAAGGAGCTGCGTCCGCGCGCCCGATCGCTGTAAGCGACGAGAACCGCTTACGACTAGTCCACCCAAATAGTCCTTGCGTTTGACAGCGAGAACCCCTTCAGAAGCCTCAACAGTCTTGAGACATGAGGCTTGCGTCCTTGACCATTGTTGCCACCCAAGCAATCATGAGCTCCTGCACCTTGGCGTTCACCTTCTCGAAACCAATGGTCTCTTCAATCATGCTTTTAACTTGCATCTCATCTTCTGGACTCCAAGCGCAAGCAATCTCAGCATCAACGTCGCACAGGGAGTCCCGCACCCGAACCTCAGCAAGCGAAAGGGGCATAAGCAAATGTTACTCCGTGCAAGATGCCTCTCAGCTCAGTCCCTGGCTATGCCTTCTTCGCCTTTCCTGATCTCCTGGAGCAAGCTATCCCCAGACATCTCCGGCATGATGAAGGTCACCTCTCGAGGGTTCCAAATTCTCCCCATCAAGTTTGCCCACTTCCTGCCTCAATTTCCCACACGACGGCGGTGTACTGCTCAAATATAGTCCAAATTCGAGATAAATATTTGGGCGAGTCCCAGTGGTCAAGAAGGGCAACCATGCGGCCAACGCGCTGCAAGTGCTCACCAAAGACTTCTTTCAGGCTTGAATTTCGGCTGCCTGCCCCATTCTGATCTACCAGGATCCTGTATTGGTTGTTCACAAAGAAACACATATACAGGAATGTCTTCTTTGGATCTATTTTGCTCTGGTCAGTCCACGCCGTCAGTGAGCTGCGAACAAGATTCACAGAATAGCCCCATGTCCACGATAGAAAGTGGGTGCATTCCCTACGGTGACAGTGATCCAAAACATCTACGAGGGCACATCCCATCTTGCCATCACGTGGGCAGACTTTGTCGCTGCCGATTGCTATTGGATCGGTAGTAAAGAAAAATGCATCCTTCAAATCGTAGAAGTCAGGGTCATCCAGCTGGCTACGTGTCTGCGCAAGGAGCATGAACTCAGTCGAGAGCAAGTACGCCACACTGACTCCCGCATCCTGACTCTGCTTCTGCTTTATCGTCTGCAAGGTTGACGCAAAGCGCTGGCTTCCCCAAGACTTGCAGGACTGTAGTTCTCTCTGGATACGGTGTAGAGCAGCATCATCCCCACTCCAGACAGCCTGCTCCAAATCACCTAGTAACGCCATCTCCCTCACTGCAGCACTCCGAGTTCGCCTCTTTGAATGTCTGCGACGCGCAGTACGAACCTTCATGACAGCTTCTTTGGCAGGGATCTCAACTGCACACTAGCCACTATCCCATGAACTGCCTATTGCGATTGTAAATATGATACACCCTGAGCAACATCAACAATAGGACTGTCAAGGACAAGATGCTCGTAGAAGCAACGCGACCCCTGCCCCTGCCAGAGAGCCATAGACTGCGGCATCCAAGAGAATGACCGGTTTCACACCAATTGCAATCCCAACGCCACTGAACCCGGCAAGAGCCACCAGGAAGAAAGTGAGCCATGCCTCATCCAACCACAATTATGGTCAAGGACAAACAAGCAACGCTGTAGATTTCATGCAAGAAGCAACGGCAGGGACCATGAAGCCACCAGCCAGCAGTTCCCAAGGGGAGCGGACGTAGACCTGCCCCTGGCCGCTGATCATCATAGTGCTAGCAGTGGTTCCCGAGACCTGAGGTGCATGAAAAGCCACAATCACGCAAAAGCCCTTCTTGGCAAAAGCCTCACCACGTAGGCCTGCAACTGCTCCCGTGTTTGACATTTGAAGGAGACCTAACACAGCTAACAATGCAGAAGCAAGCCAGGAGCACAGAACAAAAAAACGCAAGGACCACGGATCGAGTGGTGGAACTTCACGAAACCAAAGAGAAAAGCTACATCTTGCATTAAAGGGTTTACCTGGATCAGCCTGTGGATTTCATCTTTGAATTTTCAGCGACCTTGCCGTGACATGAGGGCTTTGTTGTCTGCCCGGAATTGTGAGGCCACAACACTGTTTGAGATCGGACGGGACGGCCGTGCTTCCAAGTTGGACTCTCCTTTTTCCCGAAATGGCCCTCAGCTTCCCGATTGTGATTCTTGAGTTTTCCATCCTGCTGAAACCTGACCCTACGCTTACTTGTAACCTAGTCAGAATCCTTCAAATTCCTTTCACATCGCGTCTTTTTACTGTGCGGTGGCTTTTTTGCCCGTGTCACCTCTCCCTCTAATGTCCCTTGTTCAGGTATATCTTCACACTTTCTCGCATCTAAGGCATTGGTCTTCATGAAGTCTCGTGCTGGGCTGTTGGGCACATGGTCATTCTCTGAAATCCATCCGTGCAATCATGCTTTGGGATCTTTCGAGGCCTGTCTTATCGTCGTTCTCCAACCTACTGGTCTACTGGTGCCCTTGAAAGGACTGCTCATACATACATAGAACCCCTTGATTTTGTCAGGTGACCGTCACATCAACAGTCGACATCAGTGATGGAAAGCGCCCTGTCGGCTGCAGAACCTGCGAGGCTGTCTACAAGTAGGCTTTCTGGTGCATGCGCAAAGTGCGGAAACCCAAAAGGCCGATTGCACTTCCTGCCAAGCAGCATCCGTGAAGACCGGCACATCCTGCAGCGAGCTCATGGAGCGCCTAGGATTGCCGACTTTCTCCATGGGCACAAGCAGCTCCAGCTCTGTGTCCTTGACTAGAGGCATCTTCAAGGAAAAAATGACTCTGTCAAAAAGGCTAAGACCTCCAAACAAAAATTGCTTACAATAACTCAACCCAGTGTCACTGATGGCTTTGGCTTTCAAAGGTTTCAACGGCTGATCCAGGAGGTCACATCCTGCCACGCTGCGACTGCGCAAGAATGATGGTTGTGAACACCTGCCTGTGCCCACAATGACCACAGGAAAGCTGCAGCCCCAACCGCCACGGAGAAGATAATGCCTTCGCGCACATACTCAAATTCAAGTGATGTGCAACCACCCGGCATGCAGAGTGCAGCTGTTTAGGTTCTGCCTGTCATGCATCCGCAAGAGGACTCTCCCCGACATTGAGGAGATGCAGTCCACATTCATCACCTTCCTGCAGACATCTAACAATCTAGCACACCCTGCACAGTCTGCACCACACAACTAATAAATTCTCAACTCCGACAGCTTCCAGAAGCCACTGGCAGCGGCCTGAGCGTCATGAAGATGGTGAGAATAATGCCGAAGCATAAGGCAGAGATGAAGGCAAAGATCGTCAGGAAGGTATAGCTAACTGCGCATCGTTGGTCTTCGGCGATGTGCCAGGCATCACAGGCAATGCCTTACATGCCCATGCCACAGGCTAAGCATATGCAATCAACATCTAGATGATGGTGAGTTGCCTCGTTGTTTTCCTATGCCAGTTACCAGTTTGCCTACAACAAAGGCTTTGCAGCTTCGCCACACGCTGCCTTATTGGCGGGGCGAACAGAATTCCCTGAGCAGTTGAAGCTCAGCACAGCATATCCATTCACAGCCGGGAGGTCCAACATTCCACTGATTCCTAACAGGTTCTCGTTCTCCGAGACCTGCAAGTTTCCGCCGATGCTCATGTCAGATGACAAGCCACTTAGATCGCGCAGGGCAGGATTCTCGTTCACCTGAAAATTCCCCTTTACTGCTCGGAGCTGCTTGAAGGCTGAGATATCCTGCAGCTCCCGATTCTCAGCAATGTACACGTCGCCGCCCACATACTTCAAAGAATCAAAGCCGGACAGCTCGCGAAGCTCTCCATTGAAGGCCACCCGAAGCTCGCCGTCGATTTCTGTTGCGTTAGGCATGATGATCTCTTGGAGTTGGTAGTTTGCCAGGAAAGCTATGCTGCCAGTGGAGACCACCGGTGTGGAGAACAGCTCTAATTGGGCGTTCCAAGCCACTTCCAAGTTTGCTATGGACTGCAGACTAGGTAGTTCAATGTGCGTCATGTTGTCATTGTCATTTAGTTTCAGGTCCCCACCGACGGAGATGAGTTTTGGAAGGTCTAACTCTTCTAAGCGTTCATTATACTTCACCTCAGCCGCACCGTGAACAATCGACAGATTCGAAAAGTCTGCCAGTTTGAGCGATGGATTGCTCACCACAGCCAGGCTTCCGATCCTGACGGGGATCAAAAGGTTGCTACCACTAGCCCTTGTCTAGGATTGTCTAACATCAAATAACGACCTGCAGTACCACCTTTCATCTGACGTTGCAGTCTACGGACATCTACAAGAGATTTATCTGCTTTGAAAGGGCAAGGTATGGGCAACGCGTCCACAAGAATTGGGAGGAACGTTTCTGTTCCAGTCATGTAGAAGTCTCACAAAAACCAACACTTCACATTTGCGCATGGTACTAGAACCTTTCTCCTATGCACCCGATGCTTTGAGACAACCCAGTGTAGCCTCTGGGATTCAACAAAGTGCATCTCTGACAAAGTTTCTTTGCCGAGGCCCTCGTCCAACCCATGAAATCTACGGTAGCAATCTATCCATCAACCACAACAGCACATAAACTACATCTTTGTCTTTCACTTACACATGCTTGCATGCAGTCGCCTTTACCATGAATCTATCGGTGCGCAAAATACAGAGCACTCGACTCAGAGCACCTGCCAAAACAGAATATGAAAATGTACCGTCGAATGCTTCCCTGGTGTTGCCTGCATCATGCCGTACCTCATGGTTCAAGGAAGCTTATTTACCGTATGGGCAAGATGTTGGTGCCGTAGCTTCATCTCGCGTATCAGCACTGGAAAAGTCAATCACAGTCGAGCGAGCTGACAGATTTGTTTCTGAGTCTTGTGCGGGCAAGGATTCTAGTTCACACCAGGGGCAGGAACACAGGCAAGGGCAAGGGTATTGTGGGACAGGGCATCACATCCGGGTGCATCTTGTCAGCTTGCGTCCAACGTCACAATCGCTGAAACCAACACACATTTGGGATGTTTCCAATGGCATAGCATCATAGAAATGCCGAGGCAAAAACAACCCACAACTGCAGGCGCAGTGGTGTTGTCTTTAAGCAGAGTGTCTGCGTAAGGCTCCGGAGTCCACCAACCTTACAGGGACGGAACTTGGCAAATGCTTGGCCACAAAGCCCGTCTTCTGAAAACTGCCCCATAAGCTACAGCTGCGATAGCTGCCACTTGATCCCGGCCTCTAGCATTGCCCCATTGTAGCTAATTTCGAATTGGCCCGAGATCTCACGAATGTGCGACAGCATGGTCATGTTGGTCAGGTTGTCGTTGTCCTCACGGTAACATTGAGGCTGAAAAAATATTTCAGCCCGCTACCTTCCCGCTCCTTGATGGAAAGGCCTCCACCCACAAACTCCAGCAATTCCATTCCAGAAGCTGCCTTCATCACTTTGTTGAAGATCACCTCTCAGGGATCTACACTCTGCCTTGAAAACGAACTCCACGGAAGTATGCAGGCCTCCACATTGCCATCGACCAATTTCAACTGAGGCATTCCTCAACCAGAGCTACAAGCATCATTGCTAAGCGGATGGCCCCAAACAAGGCTACAGGTGCTTGACCAAGGCACGTGGCATGTGCAGCAGCTGTCGATTTCCGCGGATGGTAAGGTCCTGACCGACGCGGGTCAGCGACTCGAATCCCTCCAAAATCTCCAGCTGATCATTGTGATGCACTCGGAGAGACTTCCCAATAACTTTCAGGTCCGCGAAGCCAACCATCTGTCGTACCCCTCTGTTGCCAATAATGTTCAGCGAACCTCCAACAAGCCGCAAGCCTGATAAACCAGAGAAATCTTCAAGAGCTAAGTTGTATCGTATTTCAACGTTGCCACCAACGCGTGTGATTCCTGAAAGTAGGTTAAGATTTGTGAGCACCTTGTCATCCGTGATAATGAGGTCACTTGCTACCTCGTGGATGCTCTGCAGCTCATCATTACTAATAGCAGCTCCATTCAGAAAGGCGCCCGAGCTGGTAAGAATAAGTTCTGGCTGAATTAAGCGCCACCCGAAGCAGGTCCTTGAAAGTTGGAAGATTCGGATTCCGCTACACTGCGGAGTGACTGCACTGGCACTGCACCAGAAGAGGCGTTGCGAGATATTTGATGTCAAGAAACGGGTGTGAGATGTTCACACTATTAACAGACAAAACATCTTCAAGTCTCACCAAGCAACAGCTTCAGGGTCGAGTTTGAAATGGGCAGCTCTTGTGCCCAAGCATGTCTCAGCGCCAGCCATGAGAGAAGCCACCGCAGCACACGAACCATGGACAAAATGCTACCGTCTCAATCACATTTAATGTTTCGAAGCTGCATTACATTATACATCCAGCTGTAGAAAGAAAAATCCCAATGTTCATTACGAGAAATGCGTGCTTACAATAAATCTAGATTGTTGTCTGGCAAAACCATGAAGTTGCTACACTGCTTCACCGAATTGCCTGCAAGGCAGGAACACGGGACAGCGACAGGCAACATGGACAGCTAGAGAAGCACCGTCAGCCATTAGGTCTTGAGCTTTGAGCTGCTGACCTGCTGCTCCGAACACGCGAGCTTGCAGTGCGCCGCCCAGGTCTCAGGCCTCTCCAGATCCTGCTGCCAAACTAGAATCTCCATGAATGGCCCACAAATGCGTCGTTGGATACACCAACGATTCCTGCGATGAGGAGACGATTTCAAGTGTCTGAAGAACCTATCAGGCTCCCCTAGCAGTGGCTTTAAGAGGATGCGTCATGTTTTAATCTTGCTCGCCAGAAGGTCCAATGCTCTGCCACCTCACCTTATTTAAATGCTAAACTAAAAGCTGGCTTGGCCTTTAGGACTTGTGCACAAGTTGGGAAATTGTTCTTTGGCAACAACTCGTTTACGCAACAACTGCGGCAAGACTAACATCTTGCAGACAAGAGGGAAACGGCGAATGGCTAGCAAGTGCCTACTAATTTTCTTGCTGTTTCTTGACACTGGCCACCCTCGTTCAACCTTTTTGTATACATATGGCTTTAGATTTCCGTCCTCTGGACATGCAGCCAGCGCCTCCGTGGCATTCCAAGCCTTTGCACATGTATCACAAGATAGCTGCCATGAAAGGAAAGAGCACGGCCGCTTCGCATCAAGCAGGCTGCTGGTTCAACGCACTTCTGCATGAAGACGTCGCAGGTCAAGCCGTCCCTTGGTAAACCCATTGCATTTCCAAACGCTTGTGCTAGTTACTGGCAGCACTAGCATGGGCAGCATGGGAAACAAGGCCAGCAAGGGTGAGGGATCAAAAAACCGTAGTAAGCATCAACAAAAATACACCCTGGAAAACATGTGAATCATGACAAATTGGAAAAATTAGCAAGTGATGCCAACCGTGAAAGTCAGGAAAACAACGAAAATCATGACAAAACATGAAAACAATGAAAAATGAATAAGAATCATGATAACAATCAAACCTTATGAAACATGAAAGGTAATGAGAAATGATGAAAAAAGATGATGAATAAGGAACATGATGAAAATGATGAGAACTCATGCAAATAATGATAACTAATGATAGATGGTGAAACATGACACATGATGAAAATGACGAAAAAAAATCATACAAAGAATGAAGAATCATGGAAATAATGAAACATGACTAAAAGTCATGAAAATAGTGAAGAAGTATGAAAATGGACAATCCTGAGGAATCATGGACATTGATAAATGAAGAAATACGATGACATGATGAGAGAATTCATGAGAATAATGATGGATGATGACTATAGCTGGTGACACATGATGAAACATGAGGAAGCATGATGAAAAATCATGAATAATCATGAAAATGAAAAAATCCTGAGCAGCGTTTAAAAAAGCGTGAAACATTGTGGAAAAGGATGAAGATGGCAACAAATGTGGAAATAATGAACATGACCAATAGATAAAGAGGAAGCTGATGAAAACTCATTGTGAGAAAGGGGAACATGATGACAAATCCTTGCGTGAGTGTGCTTTGTAAGAAAACACGGGGGGGTGTTGGGGGTACCGGGGGAGGGCAGGCTTCTTCTGCCACTTTAATTTGGCAATGTGATGTGATTAATGATGAGAAGAGGATGAACATGACCAAAAAGGATTGGAATGCTGAAAATGTGCTACATTCAAAAAAATGAAAAATCTGAAAATTATGAGAAATGATGACAACTGGCGTAACATGATGAAAAACATGGACATCCTGAAAAAAATGACAAAACGCGGAAATTGTGAGAAATCATCAAAGTGATAAAACGAAAAATGATTGCAAGATTATGAAAATCATGAAAATTATGTCCTTCCTGCTGTCCTTTTGCCAGGGTGTAAGGCCGTGGCCCAAGCATCAAAAAAACATTCCGGGCTGGTGTACTCACCAGGAATTAAGCTATATGTTTTGCTGATGCTGATAAATTGTTTTTGATGCTTAACAAATGGTCTTATGCTTATAAAGCTTTCTTAAACCCCTATCCCGGCGAGCAAGGACCAATTTCGCAAAGGACACCCCTTGCTCCCCACTTCAGTCAGGCCAGGCTGCGAGCAGAGATCATTGTGAACGCACCTGTCGCAGACCTGCGTGTGCCAAGGTGGGCAAAACAACAGTAAACGCAGCCATTCAGATATGCACATAGGCTAGTCTTTGAACCAAACCTGCAGACTGCCCTGTTGCAGGCCAGGGCATGCTGCACTGGGAGCACCCGCTGCGGGTACCAGAAGAAGCGCTCGCCACATGGCAGCCCCGTTTCCCTGAATGGCTCCTTATGCTAACTCATGCCTGGTGACTTTCGAAGGATGGTCACAAAAAGCAGAATGACCGCAGACCCCAAACCCAGACCTTCATGGCTACCTGAAATTACAGTTGAAGCTCCAACGCGCTGCCGTCATTGAGGTTTAAGTGCCTAAGGTCAGCAATTGCTAATTTTCCTGCATGCCTCATGCCTCGCAAGCCTCATGGCTGAATGATGGCATACTCCGAGGAATGGGCATGCTCAAAAGGCTGCAACTCGGCTGTGGGAGGGATTTACTCAGGATCGTTCAATAAAGGATTCAGACGCTTGAGATAGCTCGGATGTAGCGGTTTGAAGCCGCTTTCGCTATTTCTTAGGCTACTTCTTGGTCTTGCTATAGGGCTTTGGAAATAATCCCCGCTCCGGATTAATTCGGTCGCCCCCCGCCCCCCACACTCCCCCCCTGTATATTACTAACCCAGTGCCCGTCATTCTAGGGGAACCAGATGCCAGAAGAAAACAAATGTAGCTAAAATCCACTGAAATCCGATTGGACTCCAAAGTGAAAAAATAAAGGAAATCAAAGTAAAAACCATTGGCCCTGAAACCCTAATGAGCTTTAGTAGGCAAATCAGATTTCAAAACCCTCTGTGCTACTCACGTTTTGGATGTCATAAGTATTGAAGCTTATTCAAGCTAGCCTGCCTTTTTTCCAGAAACTGCTGGAGAGTTTCTATTCATCTGAAGGTTCTTTTGCTGCTTTCGATTAATCTATGCAGCATCACCCGTAAGGGGTAGCTCGGGAAGCAATGTTTGCCCCTGAAATTCGCAATGAATTCCAGTAAAGTAAAGTAGGCAAATCAGACTTCAACACCCTCTCTGCTACTCACATTTTTGGATGTCATAAGTCATAAGTAATTCAAGCAATACTAGAGTTAGTAGGTCCTTACAAATAGAACTACAGAACAGGTTTTAGGTTTGATTAGGGTATAGGGCCCCAGATTTAGGTTTCCAGTTTAAGTTCTAGAGCCTAAAACTTACCTGGAGCCTTATTTTGTTAGAGTTTGGGGATATTGTTCTTTAAATCTAGGGGGTTCTTGGCCCAAAAATGCCTCTGCGTTTGAACTTGTCTTTGACCCTAACTTTGGCCCAAAAAAGGTTAAATCTAGGTGCTTATTAATCGGGAGCACGGATTAGTAGCTGGCATGCGCTAAGGCTGCTAAGGACACCGACAATAAACAAACACAGATTCCCCAAATGGCCTGTCTTGTGTCCCACACCCACTGTCCTTGTTCTGAAGAACCCTTGCAAATACGAGAATGATGTAATGAGAGCGAGTTCTGTGCATGTAACGGCCTGCTAACCACCAGGACTGTAAACCCGCTTTGTACGCCTTCCACACTTCTATGGTGAAACGCTCAAGTGTTGAGCATTTTTTGGGCCAGTGCAGTGCAGTGATGCTGGAACAAGTCAGCTGTCGATGCGGCGCAGGGCTCTCTGGTCTTACCTTGGCAACTACTCCACCGCCAAAGACTTCAATGACCCAGAGCACAATGCAGCCATGAATCGCACTCCCGTCACCTTGTGGTAACCTTGGGGTGCGCAAAGGAACCCCTGAAATGCTGTTGAAAGCTACTGTCGGGTCCTTCCTCGTGGCGCGAACTTCAAGTCCCAACCGATGTCCGTTCTAGGCTGGTCCAGCCCAGCAGCACAGACGCCAAACCCTGCGCTCGAACTCGTTGGAAGAGCGCATTCCACCTTCACCACGTCCACACATTGAGCGAGGGGTGTCTTCGTATGAAACATTTTGCCATCCTTTACCACGGGTCATGACACGCTGACTGCCGATAGTTTCCCTTCACCTCTTGTCGACCCCTTCTAGGCTGCTCTGGGAAGCCCGGCTGGTCTTGGCTGAGCTCTTGCAGCTCCTCGTGATGCAGCTGGCATATTAAGATGATCTACATCCATGCATGGTGCAGGGCAATCCGACAATCAAGACTGCTGGGTCAGAACTTGTGCAGCGCACATTCGGCCGAGCTGCCATTGCACTTGAAAAATGACATGATTGGAGCAGATTTGCCATGGGGATGATAGAAAATCTGATCCCCTGCCCTTGTGACCCACGGAATGTTCAGAGCTTGCAACAGAAGTCTTGCTGCCCCGACTAACATGGGATGAGGAAGCATCACAGAGCTCATACTGGCAGAAGCCGGCCCATTACACTGCATTTAGTGGGAGAAAATTGCTCTAGGCACGTGCGCTGTGGCAGCAAAAGCTTTGCGCAGGTTTTGCCAACATCTTCAAGCGTGCATCAGGACTGAGCGTTTCTCTCCTGCACTTCCGCCGTAGAGATCATGGGCGGCTGCAGGGCGGACAAGACTTGTCGTGATTCACGGCCCCAGAAGCGCTGATTGACCAGCAGCGAGATCCTCGGACAAGCTTTTTGGCCAAGGTTTCCGCAGCAAGCGCATCACGCGCAAGCTTTCTTCCTAAGGTGATGCAACAGGAACGCGATGAGGCAGCAGCATGATCCTCCGCTGCAGCTGGATCCACCTTTCGGGGGTAAGCTCGAGTTCCTAGCTAAATCGCTTGAACTTTCAGTCAGGCCTGTTGTCTATGTCATAGTCAGACAAGAGCTTTTTGGAGGACTCCGCCGTGAGCATGGACCTGGCTGCACCCTCGCAGGTCCGCCGAGCTTAAACGCCTTCATGAGCAGTGGCACCACACGGTAGAGGCAAGCGGCCATACTCGGTGAAGCACCCAGGATGTCGTGCAGCGACAGATGAGGGATAGAAACCTTGACGGTTGAGATGATGCAGCTAAGCTACCCAGCAGCAACCGGCAGCCACAAGTGACTAGTGGCGTTTGCCGAGGCGCCCGTTGAAGCTGAACTTCTTGCTTTCGATTGCTTCAGCTTCTCGGGCGTCTGAAGCCTGAACATGCGCGCACCAGGTGCCAGCGCAGCAGGCTGGCAGTTTTAGCCGGGCCACCATTGAAGGGCATGGGTTTTCAATCATGTAACCTTGGCAGCTGCGATGCCAAAAGCATGTGGCTCACTTCTCTATGCCAAACGCATAGCCAAGATGCTCAGCAAACGGAAAAGTGTCTGGCGATCAGAAGTTACTTCCATTCTTGCAAATAAGTTTTGAACCTGTTCAGGGTAGCTCAGAGATATGGGACGCAACTCTTGCCTTCATTACTCCCTTCATACCACATCCGAGAGCCTGAGTGATGTCGACGCAGCCATTGGGGTCCGCTCGCATGGAATTAAACCAAGCGCGTGGCCTTTGGAAGCTGTTGCCTGGCACAGATCTGCGGCAGACCGACTGTGTACTGTGTTCGTATGGCGTGAGCTTTGAGCTTGTACTGTCAACAGGGAATTCCATGACACCACGAACAAAGGCTGATGCTGTGCCGGCATGACCTGCAATGTACTCGCACATATGTTCCGCACTGTCCCTTCGCACGAGGTGCCGCAACCTTTGGTGCAGAATGGCTACAACTGCAATGGCTGCAGCAGGCTCACGTAATTCGCGAGATCGTCACAGAACTCGTGAGCATGAGTGGGCCTAAATCAACATCTTCGTAAGTTGGATGGCTGGCTGGCTGGCGCCCTTGGGCCTGTGTTGTATCCGGATGATCTGCGACACTGGCATGATTTCTGCGTTGTGCTATTTCTCAGCAGGCTATTGTGGACTCCCGCAGTATGCTTTCGTACGATTTGTAATTCAGTGCGGCGGCAGCTTTGGCTAAGCATAGCTCGATGCACATGCTGAGGACGCGAAAGCTAAACGGAACAGACTGCCTGTCAAAAGAAGGTCATTGATGTGCTCCTGCTATGGACATGTCGCACGAGCACTGCTGCTGCTGAATCTCTACACGCCATTGTTTTCTGATACGTATCAAGGATGGGCGATGGATCTTGGAGGCTGCCTGATCGTTACTTCAGAAGCAGGCTTACGGAAGGTATCTACCTACCCTGCGACATGGTCAGCAGTGGCAGATCGAAAGGGAGGTTTCTATTGGGCACTTGAGCAGTTCAACCAAGAGACCCTTCCACAAGTCGCATTTGGACCTCTGCATGATCCCCCAATGTGAGCAGGCCGGCGTTCTCAATCTGCAAAGATCCAAACCCCATCCTGCACGGTGAAACTCATCAGTGCTTCCGAGTCATGAGGCATCAGGGCGGGCACATGTGGGCGGGTACACATGACTTGTTGCTGAGGTCTACAGCAGGTTACTCTGGTGAGAGGATACTGGCTGTACAAAATATGGATAGCCCTGAACGACATCTCTGACGCCTCAAAGTCTCTGTGGCTGCAGTACGGCTTTTGGTCAAGCCGAGCCTCAGCTTCCCATGACAGCAAAGCAGACTCTGCGGAGTAAGAAGAACGTGCTGGCATAGCATCAGAGGCACCAGAACATCAAGGGTATGATTGCGTCTGCATCGACGAAACCAATCTGGCAGCCTTCAACATAGAGGCTGCGGCGATGCTGCTTCTCAATATTATGGAGCTCAAGTCAATCTCTGCAAGCACATCGAGGGCAATGGAGCTTGCAATGGCATTTCGCATAAGTCTGAAACCCCACCTAGCTTGATCGCCTAAATTACGACCTACCAAATAAAAGCCTCTCTACATGCCCTTGCAGAGGCCGATGAATCTATCTGAAATCCTCCTTGTCAAGCCAACTAATCTGGTCGGTCACATGATTCTGGAAGTAATTGTGCCGCAGCCACCACTGGACTCCGACAGCATCTTGATCATACAAACGGTTGTCATTCAGCATGACACAAACACGTACACTTCCTTCCAGCTTCATTATGACCACGCCTGGGTCCAGAAGATCCAGCATGCGCTGCATTTTGACCCGTCTGGCCACGATTTTCGCAGGCGAGGCGGGCCCTGCCACAGATCTGAACGTAAAGGCAAAACGTACGACGAGTCTGGCTACCCAGGCCTTGCAGGGTGGATTTTCCTTCGTTGCTTTGGGCTTCCTCGGCATGTCCAAACGCTGCAAATGGCAAGGCTGCATGCTGCATGCAACCTGCCGGGCCTCAGTTGGTACTCCAGGGCCTCCAGCATCAGCTCGGGCACTGTGCTTGGTCCTGGTATCATCAAGCCATGCACAGAAGCCACGAAGGGCTTGCGCCTGGAAGACTTGCTCGGCTCTTGCTTGACTATTCCCGCCGCTTCTCCCTGCGCAAGTACTGGCACAGCTGATGTGGATTAATATCAGGTTCTCGCCTGGTCCATAAATGCCAGCAGCGGCTGGCTCGCGACTCGGGGCTTGACAGTCAAGTCCTCGATGAAGCCAGCTCGGAAGTTGCCTGGCTTCTCGGAAATTAGGAGAGTGCTAGCTGCTAGCGGGCTTAAATGGCTCAGGCCTAAATAGAGTAATTGACATTCCATGTGCAAAATGCTCTTTCCGTGCAGCCAACCATTGCATACTCATTATTTCGAGGGACCATCCATGCCCGGCACATGTTTTGAGCTTCTACTGCAGCAGGAGGTTGTGCATCTTTGTTTTGTCAATCTTCACAGTAGTGGAACCTGTGGCACTTTCAGAACTCCAACTTGATTCCTGCAGCCCTTGACCTCATAACCGCATGTCTGTCAGCATCACTGTGTCAAAGGTACTCCAACATAAAGGAAGCGCCGATTCCGATTCCCAGCGTCCCTACCAAGAAGCCGATTCAAAGCCCAGTTCGCCTTGCTGCACTGCCTCACCGCCTGCCTCCTGCACAGCCCCTGAATGAAAACGGAATCGACCAAAAGCTCATCTCGGGCATGATGGCGTCTCTCCAGCTGCGCTGCTCGTGTAATGTCGGTCCTGGCCTCGAGTGGCAAGTTCTTCGCGGTGCTCGCTACGCCGAGGAGTCAAAGGTCTTCGCCTCAACAACAAAGGGAAATCCTTCCACGGGCGGCTGGCTGCGCCAGTGATGCAGATATCTGGGCTCGCGCCTGGCTTGCCTCAAACGATGCTCGAAAAGATTTGAATCCTCCTTCGAGCCCTGCAGGGAGCTCAAATTCGCATGACCTATTGACTCTAGGCGAGCATTTGCAAGCGATGAGAAAAAGAACCTGGAGAGGCACAACTTGCTACTGCCTGCTCAATCACAGTCTGCAAGGCCATGGGCTCAACGGGATTTGTTCTAACGGCCCTTAGATCTGCACAAGCAATGGTCAGCATCCCGCATAACAGCGCTTTGAAAAAAATCCGGCGCTGCCAGCAAGTCGCTCCAAGAACTCTTCGTCATTCTCTCGAAGTTTTCCTCACGAATTCGGAGCTAGTCTTACAGCGAAGAGCAGTAAAGCAAGTGGCGAACAATCAACAAATGCCCGATATCAACGTTCGGAACTAAGACGTGGGACATGAGCACAAGCACTATGAATGACTCAAATGCGGCACGAAACAACCAAACCGAGAGCCAGGTATCACCACCCCAAGAGGCCCAAGTTTGCATCAACCTAGACCCAGAAGACGCGGCTGTTTTGGAATTTTGCTCCGGGCGGCGCAGAACCGCAAAGCCTTGGATGAACGATGCTTTGTTTCAATGGAATGGCAAAATAACTGCAGTGCAAAACTAAACTCTGTCCAGCTGCCGACTGCACGGAATCTGCCCAAGAAAAGGCAACGTCTGGCTTTGAGCCTTGCCTGTTCCGCCTGCATTGGTGATTGGTGTCATGAGTCTGCTGTGACTTCAGCTGCCAGCACGAAAGTTTGAATTCTAGTCTCGACTCCTTGCACACTTCTTGGGACCTGCTCGCGCTCCAGCTGTAGTTGCCGAGCAGCTTGTTCTGCGCGTGCTTTTCGCGCCGCCCTCTCAACGGGTAATGACGGATTTCACAAAGGCCAGGTGGCTTCCCTCTATCTCTGGCGTGCCATCCGCTGTCTTTCTCAAATTTCCCGTTGGAGTCAACAACAGTACGTGCATGGTAGCAGTAGGTTTTCTGGAATAAAACTTCTGATCCACCCAGGAGCTGTATTGCCTCCCATTCAATCAACTGCATGACTGAATTCTGCCCTTCACTCCATCCAACACTTTTCTTTGGCTCTGTCTGTTCTGTGGTTCGGTTGTGTTGTACTTTCTCACATGCTCCCATTTCTTGTGAAATCACTGTCATGGTGTTTCCCTTGCTGCTTTCGCTTCGCGTTGGTCAAGGAACTTGCCGAGTTCTTTTGGTGCACTATTCTCTTCCATAGCCGCTTTGATGTTTTGCAGTTTGATTGCCAAGTCCTTCTCCTCTACTCCCATCGATTTCTCTCCAGTCACCAGAATGACACCCAGTATTTGGTTTGCTCCATCGGCAAAAACTCTCTCATGCCAGCCGCATCCACTTCTGCTGGCTGAGTGCATGCGTGCCACTGCCATTTGTCGTCTCCGCCATCACGTATTGCTGCGGGCGCACTCTTTGCGCCTGCTCAGTCTGCGACGCTCTCTTCTGTGTTGCATCCTTCGTCTCCCTCTCGCAGCCTTCGTTCTCCCTTTGTGGTCTCTCGCGCTGTTGTCGGGAGTGTGTCGCTAGGCACTCTTCTTCGTCCGAATCAGTCTCCAGGTTCGGCAGCTTTGCAGGGCTCGGTCCCTCCTCTGCGGGAATTATTGTCCAGCACTTCCGTCAGAGTCACTTCCTCCTTCATTGGGCACTCTGTCTTTGCTGGCTTTGCCACCTCCTCATGCTGGATGTTGTTGTCTCCCTCTTCCACGTTGGTGACTCGAAACAGTCTATCATCGATCCCTCTCCTCGGGTCAACCCATGCTCCTAGCAGTGGCGGGACTCTTGCCGGCCTGGTTTCTTTCTCCCCGGTCTTTCCCAGTCATCGCAACCCTCGCCTCTACCTGTTCCGTTATTGCCTTCAGCGTCTGACTTTCTGCGCATGTTCCTTGGCAGCTTGACAAGCCTCGTCCAGTCTTGTAGTCTCGGTTCCTACTGTAAAATCTCTCCGAACATGCAGGGACCCTGGGTGTTCTCCCCTTCGTTGACGGTCTTCTCCCCGGTTGCTGATTTCTTGACACCCTTCTCTCTCGTCCCACTCGCCGCCGATGTGCGTTCCCTCCCTGCTTTCTCACGTGACGTGCTTGAGGTGGATGAGCTGGATGAGCTGGAGGAGCTGGTTTTACTCTGGTTTTTCCCTGTACGCGCCGCTTGGCATTCTTCCTGCTGGGCTTGGTCCTTCTTCTCCTGCTCCCTTATCTTGAGGATTAGGGGCCGTCGCTGTCTTGTTCAAATGTATCTCCCCTCCTTGTCTTAGATTTGTTTCCTGCACCCATTGTCATCTGCAGCTCCCACGCTTCCTGTCTGCTTGTCCTTTTTCTTGCCTTGCTTCCCTTTATCCAGTGCGTCCTCCTCCTTCATTGCAGCGCTGCTACTTGCGGCCAACGTGTGCTGTATCGGCTCAACGCGCTTTACTTAACAGTCCTTGGAACAATCGGAAAACGGAAATCCAACGGGGTTCACCCCCAACAGTACAACCAGGGCCGACTTCAGCCTACAACCCCCAACTCTGAAATGACATCATTCGCTCTCTCTCTTTGGCTTTTGCTTTGGAATAGGGGAGTGGCGCTTACGCGCAGGCCCTGTGGCCTCCCCTGAGCGATTTGGTTTGTATGTGGTTGTGGAACTGTGGGCTCTTTCTGTGAGAGAGTCAATACAGAGGCAGATATATATTACAATAAAGGGAAAGCGTTTCGTTGGTTCCCTATCGCGCCAAGCTTCCCTGGTGAAATTCTTCGAGGGTTCCAGTTGTGTGGTTATTAGTAGGCTGCACAGTTCTACATGTACAACACACGTGATGACAGTTTATCACTTCGGAGGTTCCAGTCGAATCCGGTCGACATCGCCTTACAAACATCAAGTCTGCCGGTCAACTATTCAAACAGCCCTTATTCCCCTATCCACCGGCTCCTCAAAACTCAGGTGTGCACTCCAATTGCTGAGTCGCAAAGGTGTTCACTATGGCTCACAAACTTCATATTTTGGTTTTGGGACCTGTACATCCGGCTGAGGGTCTCAGTTGTTCTCGTTGCTCGATTTCACTGTTTCTCCACGTGTTCTCTCCCGAGCTCTTCTCGACGATCGTCTTGCTGTTCTTCTTCATCTTCAACATCCATTTCTGTTTCCAAAGCCGTTCTTTCCGGTTCTCCTGCGTGCGTGGCATCGTAGTGCTCCGCATCCAAAGCCTCTTGTTCCGCCATCTCCTTGTCATACTCCAGGATTTGACGGTCTATCGTCATCCGTCATGATGCTGCCGTTGCTTGATTTGCTCTTCTTCTATGCGCTCTATGCAGTCCAGCGGACTGCGCGCAGGCTAGGACTTCACTCTTTCTCCGCCCGTTCCCTCCCTGATGGCGTCCTTATTCGGCTCGGCCTTCTTCTTGTTCTACTTCCATTGCTGCTTCACCGGTTCCCAGCATCGTATGAAAACATGCTCTAACTTCCGCCCTGTTTCAAAACAGCCCAGGTCAGCTCCCTGGGACACCTTCCGTGATTGACTCCTTTGAGACCCTGGCAGTGGGCCGGCTACGCAAGCCCCTTCCCCCAGTCCGCTTTCCCCCACTGCGGTAGCAACGGGTTTCGGCTTTTTGGGTTCTCGGGCGCGCCCGTACACGACACCGCACCAAGGCTGGGCCAAGCTTAATTCAGAGTTCTCTGCCCCACAGCGATTCATCGCACACAAAACTGCAGCACTGAATTTCTACAGACGGACTTGCCCCTGTCGGTTCTTTCTTCAGCCGCCTGAATGGTGCTGCCTGCATTGAACAAAAGCGGTAGCGAGTTTGATCGGCTTCTGAGTCGAAAGTCGCTGCCTGTATCAACCACTGTATCTCTGTCTGTTGTCATCGCACCGGTTCTCCAGGGGTCTCGTCTGAAAATGGCTTCGGCGTTTAGCTTAAGCCCCGGGGTCCCGTGCGGGGCGTGTTCCCCCAGTTCCCCACCGAGACTTGAGCCAAAATGGCTTCGGTTGACACTATTTTCTTTTTCTTCGGGCTGTAAGGGGTCCTACGACCCCTCGCAGGCAAAGCCTGCAGCCCCCGCAGGCAAGCAGATGTCCGAGTCTGGTCCCACCCCGGCTACACGATGCAATGTAGTTCCAGCACCCCAACACCCCAACACAAGCATACACACTATTTTCTCTCCTTCTCTCTCCCTCTCCCCCGGCCTCTCTCTCTAGACAGCTTGCTGAAGGGAAGCCACTCTGCAACCTACTGGCTTGCCGTAGTTGGTAAGCTGCACACCGAAACACCCCCTTCACG